ACATCAGAGTGCATCCACACATTATTAAAGGTCAAAGGGCTTTAAAGCAGTACAATCATTTTGAAATTTTTATCATTTACTTATTATGCTTCATTAAGTACTTATACAAAATTTTATTAAAATAAAACCATTTAAACTGTGTGTTCGGATTTATACGTCACTTAGTATAAGTGGTGGACGTTTTTCAAATGTACACCCCGCATAGCCTAGCCATTGCCTAGCGACGGTGAGACAGAAGGTCGTGCAATCTGCCGCGTTGTTAATTTGTTACATTGGAACATATTCGCAAAATCTTCTACAATGTAAGGTAATTGTCCAACCCAAGGAGGAGGTCTGTTCGAACATTTAATTTAATATTTTGTTTCCATTTTGATTAGAATTACTTATTTCAATTTTGATACGGCCTAGTTTTTTAAAATATAATTATCTCTGATTTTCACTGATGGTGATACAATCAGCACATACTGAAATATTGTTACATTTTGCAACAGCGACAGTGATCATGGAGGTGGAAGCCTTGCCTTGGAATGTACGAGTTGCGATGTTGCCAAACAAACCAATGATGCAATGTTGCAGAATTTGTGACAAACCTGAAATTTCATTTAGACCTAAAATACAGCGCCGTTAGAACCGATTGGAATCGATCCTAAACAGATTCGACACAATTCACAATCCAAAAATTAAGCCATTATTTGGGCGTAAAGAATAACCTAACGCATATTTTCAATATGCATTTTAATTCAAGGAACTGGTGGAACATACAACACGATGATGAGCTTCGCTATCAAGGGTTTCTATTTCTTTCTAACATATGTGTTCACACCTCTCTCTCGTACACATTGAACTCAAGTCGTCAGACAAACTTGATTCTCAGTGTATATGGACATGTATACTAAGTGACATATAAATCCGAACACCCAGTTTAAATGGTTTTATTTTAATAAAAGTTGGTGAATGTATTTATCTTACTGTAAATAACAAGTGAAAAAAATTTCAGCCTTATCAGTTGGACATTCCGGTTTTTATACTGCTTTTTTAATTCACTAACGCTCTAAAAATGAATATTTCAGCCGCAGTAAAGAATCAACGTTGGCGGGTTTTGGTTTTTGACATCCTATACGATCGGTTACGATGCCTATAGTACGGAGACCTGTACGATTTCGTCAACTTAGTGAGTTTGATAGGGGCCGTATAGTGGGACTTCGGGAAGCTGGACTTTCTTTTCGGGCAATTGCAGTTAGAGTGCAAAGAAGTGTAGACACTGTCGTTAGGTGTTGTCAGGCATGGCTTCGAGAAGGCCGTACGCAAAGAGCAAGGGGCACTGGACGCCGCCGTAGAACAACAGACCGTGAAGATCGCCGCCTAAGATTATTGGCCTTAAGGGACCGTTTCTCCACTACCAGATCCATTGCAAATGAATGGTTCGCAGAACACGGAAGACCTATTGGCATGCGAAGTGTTTACCGACGAATGAGAAGTTTTGGCTTGTTTTCATACCGGCCACACTGGGTCCTCCCTTTAACTCGAGAACACCGACGTAATCGCCTTGAGTGGTGCAGACAACGGTCACTCTGGGATCAGGAATGGAACAGTATTGTCTTTAGTGACGAGTCTCGATTTTGTTCAGGCATGCACGATGGTCGTGTCAGGGTTAGAAGGCGACGTGGTGAAAGGAGGAATCCACAGTTTTTTGTTGAAAGACATGTTCATCACACTGTTGGAGTTATGGTTTGGGGTGCTATAGCTTATGGTTCCAGGTCACCTTTAATCTTCATCAGAGGTAACATGAACGCGCAGCGTTATGTCCACGATGTTCTAGAACCCCATCTTTTACCCTATCTTGACACCCTGGCAGATCCAACCTTCCAACAAGATAATGCCCGACCACATGTTGCAAGAATCACAATAGACTTCTTTCAACATAATGATGTCACATTGTCACCATGGCCACCAAGATCTCCCGACTTATCCCCAATTGAGCACGTGTGGGATATGATGGGTAGGAGATTGCTCAATTTGCAACGCCCTCCTCAGACTCTATAAGCACTTCGAGAGGAGTTGGTGGTTGCCTGGAATGAGATACCACAGGAGGACATTGACCGCCTGATCAGAAGCATGCCTAGGCGCGTTGGAGAATGCGTAGCACATCAGGGTGCATCCACACATTATTAAAGGTCAAAGGGCTTTAAAGCAGTGCAATTATTTTGAAATTTTTATCATTTACTTATTATGCTTCATTAAGTACCTGCTTATACAAAATTTTATTAAAATAAAACCATTTAAACTGGGTGTTCGGATTTATATGTCACTTAGTATATTTAAAACATTTAGCGTACATGTTGAAGAATAAGAATAAGAAGAATAAGACCCGGAAAAAGCCAGTTCTGGATGTACGAAGTGCAATACGATTAGGATAGGAGGCTGAAGTCAGGCGGGTCTATTTAGCAGGCACATCGCGTGGATGCATCATGGAGGAGAGCTCTGAGGAGCAAATCCCGTTGAAGTAGCGGTAGAAGAGAGCTAGATTGCCAACGGCCCGCCGGTGAGAAGGTCAAAGGGCTTTAAAGCAGTGCAATCATTTTGAAATTTTTATCATTTACTTATTATGCCTCGTTAAGTACTTATACAAAATTTTATTAAAATAAAACCATTTAAACTGGGTGTTCGGATTTATATGTCACTTAGTATATTTAAAACATTTAGCGTACATGTTGAAGAACTTTCGGAGACATATAAATGGAGAATTGAGCCAATGGTTTTGGAATAAATCAAGAAAACTCTCAAAAAAAGTGATTTTGGTCAAAGCGGATAAAGCAAAGTTGATACTGCACTCATCTGTAACTTTACTCTTTTAGTTTATGAATTCAAAATTGGTATATTAGTGGATATAGAACAATACATACGAAAATAAAGCAAGTCAAGGATCCCGGTATCCAAGAACTCGCCGTAGAGCCGTACATGCGAAAACCACCTGAGTTCCGGACTAGCGTTGTTTATGCGATGAACGTAGATTACGTGGTATTTTTTGTAGAAATAATGTATTGGTTTAAGAGGTGTATACCCAGAATACGCAACTACTAAGCGTTTCAGTAAAAAAGCCTGCCTAGCCTAAATGCCCAAATGCCATGCTATGAGGAGCTATGTCTATCTGATTTTTTAACTACCCAAAATAAGTAGACCCGGAAAAGCCAGTTCTGGATGTACGAAGTGCAATACGATTAGGATAGGAGGCTGAAGTCAGGCGGGTCTATTTAGCAGGCACATCGCGTGGATGCATCATGGAGGAGAACTCTGAGGAGCAAATCCCGTTGAAGTAGCGGTAGAAGAGAGCTAGATTGCCAACGGCCCGCCGGAGCGAAGGTGTCCCGAGGCTGTGCGTTAGAGAAGAGTCATCGATCGGTCGGACAGCCCTCCTCTTAACAGCATCGAGCATAGCCTAGCTTTTTTCCAGCAGCTGCCGCTATTGCCGCTGAGATGGATCTGGACCAGCCAAAGTGAACGGCTCTTTGGTAGAACTCGAGCATTCATAGAAAGCGTTAAACTGTACCACAAGCAGTGATAGCCTTCAGGTCTCGTCAGAGAGAAAGTTGCTAGCTATACCCTATTCGTAGCCCACTAATGCCCCGGCACAACAAAGATGCAGCGCGGCAAAGCGGCAGCCGCCTAAGCCTTGCAGTAGCTATTGGTCATATGGCCATAAAACTTTGAACAAGTGCAGGATTCGACAGGATAGAACTCAGGGTCGGGGTATCACCGGCAGTAGATGAAACTAAGAATATTTCTCCCAATGCTTCCTTCAGCCATGCTTCCTCTTCAGTGATGTCTTCTATCCGAAAACGAGACAAGAAGGGATACTTGAATATCCAGGCAAAATAAATTGTCCTTAACGTTTTTTAGAGCATTCTGAAATGAAAATTCATGATATTGAAAGACGGGTGGAGAACAAAACAGGCTTATGCCCTAAGACAATTTTCAACATTGTTAAAGAATATAAATAAACAAGAGGCTGCGTTACACGATGCTGTTGATAACTTTGATCGGAATGCCATCAGACGCAAAGTCCATCCATTTTTGGGAAGGCCGGAACTTCCCACCACGGACAAAGTATTACAGAAGCTTAATAGTGATGGAGACTTACCTACCTTCAAAAGGACCACATTCTATTGTTTACTCAAAAGAGATTCAACTCAACTCAACAACATCAAGAGACTCAAAGAGATTATTCTATGGAGAAGAAATTATTTAAAATCAAGAATGAAATACCGCGTCAAGGGCAGGAAGATCGATTACTTGGATGGAACCTGGATAAATGCAGGACATACAAAACCTAAAGTATGGGCTGACTCTACAATTAAATCAGCAAGACAAGCCTTCTCAGATGGACTAACCACTGGCCTAAAGAATCCGTCAGGTACGTGTATCAAACTAATTCGTCATTTGTGTTGTAAAAATGGTGTAAAGTAGACTGAATCTATGAGCCCACGCTGAAAACTTAACTACACTAAGCTTAGCTATATCTGGTAGGTGTGGAACCAACACCTGTTAGATACTCTGCTTGTAGTAATATTTTCTTGAATACTACGCGAAATAATTTTTTCCAGGAAAAGGAAAACGATTTGTTATCTATCACATTGGCAGAGAAGATGGCTTTGTGCTCACTGCCCTTTGGGCATTTGAGTCAAAGACAACGACCGACTGCCATTTGAACGATGGTTTGAAGCAACACTCCCACAGCTTGACGACAATGCCGTCATTGTACTTGACAATGCTACAGGCCACACTGGAAAACTAGAAATAATTCCCACAATGTCCAAAAGAAAGACAGAAATTCAACAATGGCTCATATCAAAAGAGATTAGTTTCAATAAAAATCAGGTCAAATCACAACTTATCCATCTAGTCAGACACCACAAATATAATTATAACCCTAATGTTATTGACGAAACTGCGAACTAAATCCCATTGAAATGATTTGGGCAAATATAAAGAACAATGTGGTTTCAAACAATAGAACATCCAAATTGTCTGTTGTGAAAAATTTGTTTTATGAAGCTGTCAACAGAGTGACGGTAAACCATTGGAAATATTGCATCCGTCACTTTCAAGAGAGAATCTAAACAAAGATGTGGGACCTGGACAATGATTGATATTCAAATTGAATCTGTAATAATCAATATTAACCATTCGGGCGATGTGACTCTGTTTCATTTAGAAGGGTACGATACATTGTATAATTTTGGTAACCATAATCAAAACGATGGAGTGATGGTGTATGTACGAAACAATCTGCCTTATAACCACACCATATTTACAATCAACAATGAACTAAAAGGTATCAATCTAACAATGCAAATTGAAAATCGTAGAGTCAAAATTACTTGTGTTTACCGACCACCATCTTCAGATCCTCATACATTTATAAGAGACATAGATGAACTATTAAAAAACAATGAAAACAATCACCTTCATAATCAAATATTTATAGGCGACATCAATATAAACATTTTACAGGAAAATTCTATGGTGAAAGAATATTTAAATATTTTATCAAGTAATGGTTTTTTATCATACATAAATAAAGTAACACGACCCATCAGTAAAACCTGCATTGATCACTGCTTTATAAAGGATATTTCCAATATTTTTTCTTACATGCCTATTATCTATGAAACCGATATTACAGATCATTATTCCACTGTATTATTGATATCTTCACAAAATAAAAACCAGAACTGCCCAAGGGCAAAAAATGAAAGAAACCTTAAATACAAATATTTCACTGACAACTCAAAATTAATATTTAACGCACAAACGGAATCGTGGGACGAAATTTTTTTAACAAATTCTTTAGACGAAGCTACAAATTTATTAATACACAAAATTCAAAAAGTAATTGAAGTTAGTACTAATAAGGTTAAAATAAGTCACAAGGAAAAAAGCAGAAATGATTGGATGACCAAACGACTAATAAAATCTGCAAACGAAAAAGAAAGACTGTATAAAATCATGAAATATTTACCCACGAAAGAAAATATAGATCATTATAATCACTATAAAACAAATTTATAGAACTTTTGAGAAAAGCAAAAAAAAATTACTATATAAAACAATTGAATAATAATTCACATGACTCTAAACACCTATGGTCCACTGTCAATGATATATTCAATAAGTCATCCTATTCAAAAAACAATATTAATGAAATAAAAACAAAAACAGGACAGAAAACAGACAATATTCAGCAAATATGTGATGAGTTCATAGAATTTTTCACGAATATAGGAGGAAACTTAGCAAATCAAACAAAATGCTGATGATCATCTGCAAGACTGAATAATTCATTTGTATTAACTGAAGTAGACTATCAGGATGTTTTCAATGCCATTATGACTCTAAAAAATAAAAAAAGCCCTGGAATTGACGAAATTAGAGCTGAACATCTAAAGATACTGGCCAAACAAATAACAGAACCACTTGCTTATATCATTAACAAATCCTTCCAATCTGGAGTATTTCCATCAGCTTTCAAGACAGCAATCATCATACCTATCTATAAATCTAATGATAATACGGACGTCACTAACTATCGACCTATTTCACTTATATCAAGTTTAGCTAAAGTTTTTGAGAAATTACTCCTTAATAAAATGATTAATTTTCTTAATAAATTCAAAATTCTAAATTCAAATCAATATGGTTTTATAGCGGGCAAATCTACAACAGATGGGGTATTAAGTATAGTAGATGAAATAACCCAAAATATAGATGGAAAAGTACCATCGATATGCGTATTTGTGGACTTACAAAAAGCGTTTGGAGGACGGTCCTGACCGTCTAACTTGAAAGTAGTATCGATAGTACTCTGCGAGTTTATATCATGTGTGAAAGTTATTAGTTCGATTTATTTACTGAAAAGTTCACCCACCAATCCAACACTCACCAAGACGTCGGTCACCAAAAAACCAGCAAGTAAGTGGACGTCCTTACATTACTGCAAGAGATATCGCTAAACGTAAACAAACACCGGTGCGGTACGGTCAGCCGTACTGCACCTAGATCCACGCGGAGTTCGAGCAGTACCGCCAGGGCCGGCTCCAGAATTTTCTCAACCAGTCTCGCACTAAAACTATATAAACATGACTCAACCTGATAATAATAGAAACAGTACAACTACTTCATCATCATACTCCAGTGCACTCCTACAGCAACCAGTCAGCAAAACACCATCAAAAAACCAAGCGATTCTCCTAACAGCAGTAGATGGGATAAAAATCCATGATTATATTATTGCAATTGGCTCGATTGTAGGTCCCAAAAATATACTGTTCGCATCAAGAATTGCTAACGGCCGAATCTGTATGTATCTGAGTAACACTGATAGCGTGGACAAAATAATCACTGAACACAAATCCATAAAGATCCAAGACCACGACATCGAAATAAGACGACTTGTTACACCTGCTCAAAGGCTAGTTATTTCAAATGTCTGCCCCTCTGTGCCAAACAACATTATTGAAAGTTCACTAACAACTATGGGCCTGAAGCTACTCTCCCGCATAACTTACCTCCGAGTTGGAATGCCGGAAAATGAATACAATCACATTCTCAGTTTCCGTCGACAAGTGTATATTGCACCACCTGTTAGCGAAATCGTAGACTCTACCACTATAACCTTTGAGGAAACGACATACAGGATATTTTTCTCCGTAGACGGACCAAGCTGTACTCTTTGCAAGCAGACGGGACATACATTGGAAAAATGCCCCAAATCACAATCCAGAAATGAAGATACCGAATCAAGAATAGAATTTGAGTCATCTAATGTACATAACAAAACTAATACATTGAGCTTAAACATGACTGCAACCATACAAGACAACTCTGTATCAGAGGAAACTCGACCTAAACGACAAATCTCAACATCCCCCGTATCTACTAACACCCAGCCTACATTAACTGAAGCCCCCACTAAGAGAATCAAAACATCAAAAGTTTCTGAGGAATCCTTGGAACCCGCCGAGGAATTCATAAACTCACGGTTTACGTCAACCAAGCTAAATGTGTCAGAGGTAGCTGACATGATAGAAAATACATATAAATCCAAAGATATAATAGCAACGTTTAGAAACTACACAAATAACATACCGGATATGAACCAATTTTTAGCTGAACTATACCCACATTTAAAGGATAGGAGCACAAAAATAAAAATTACAAAAATCAGAAAAAAATTAGCGAAACATCTAGAAAACTTATCGTCCAAAAACAGTGAAGAAAAGGATCTAGAATCATCCGATGGCGAAGTCTCTGGATCCTCTTTCTCAACATACTAGATATTTTCATGTTTCTAATTCAGTGGAACCTGAACGGGTACTATACCCATAAAGAAATGCTCAACTTGCTAATACGTGAAAATAATCCATATGTAATCTGTCTGCAAGAAACTCACCTCAAGAATGATAATCACAGCCACACACTCAAGAACTACTCTAGCTTTTACAAAAATAGACCAAATCAGGATAGAGCAGCAGGAGGAGTAGCAATATTCACCAAAACCTCTATACAAGCAAAAAGACTTCCCATTACTACAGATCTGGAAGCCGTTGCCGTGTCGATCACATACCACTCAACCATACATATCTGCAATATATACATACCACACCCAAAAGATATAGACTTTAACGCAATAGAGTCTTTGCTGCTACAAATTCCCATGCCCAGAATCATAGTAGGAGATTTTAATTGTCATAATATATGCTGGGGATCAGACTTCTCTGAAAGATACGGCATAGAGCTAGAAAACATATTTGACAATATTGGTCTCATACAACTTAATGATCGTCGCAGCACTAGGTTCAATGCTTTCAATGGGAAGTTCTCGTCCATTGATGTATCTTTCTGTGACCCTTCTTTAGCCCCTTTTCTCCACTGGAACCCCCTATCTGACCTCTATGATAGTGACCACTATCCTATAACTATTGGCCATAGTAAAGATGATGCTTCTTGTGCATCCACTACACAAAGATGGAAGTTGAATAAAGCTGATTGGGATAAATACCAACAGCAGGTTGAACAACGCCTACCATTACTTCCCACCTGTGAAGACATCAATATCGAGATCGACAGCCTGATTCACGTCATAAAAGATGCCGCTCACATTGCTGTAGGAAAAACGAAAACCTGTAACAGAAAACCAGTCCCATGGTGGAATCAACAAGTCTCTAATGCAATAGCCACCTGCAAACATTGTTTCAATGTCCTCAAGAAACATAACACAGCCGAAAATCTGCGAAAATTTAAACAAGCTAGAGCAAAAGCCAGATATCATATCAAGAAAAGCAAGAAAGAATCCTGGCGAATCTATGTATCCACTATTAACTCGTCTACACCTGCATCGCAAACCTGGAATAAAATCAAGAGCATTAATGGATCAAAAACAAGCTACGAAATAACCTCTATAAAATACAATAACCAAGTAGTATCCGACAAATCAGCTATCCCAGAAATCTTTGCTGACGTCTACTCAGCACACTGTAGCGAAATCAACTATAGTCCTTGTTTTCTCCAATACAAGTCACAGGTTGAAGGTGATACTATCACCGTACCGAACGACAACAGTCCCATAAACTGCCTTATTGCAATAGAAGAACTGGAAGAAGCACTAAGAACATCAAGAAGTACTTCCCCGGGTCCTGACGATATCCCATACTCTTTCTTGAAACACCTCCCATTGACGGCAAAATCAATCTTGATAGACATATACAATAAGATTCTGGTGTCCCGACAATTCCCTGACGTCTGGAGGACAGCCATTGCTATCCCCATCCTAAAGCCAAATAAGCCTCAAGATGACCCTGCTTCGTATAGGTTGATATCGCTGACATGTTCTATGTGCAAGCTGATGGAGAAAATCCTCAATAAACGCCTGTTATGGTTTTTAGAAAAACACAAACAAATTAACAACTTACAAAATGGTTTCCGAAGCAACAGGTCTACGACAGATAACACTGTAGTACTGGAATCCACCATCAAGCAAGCATTCGCAAACAACCAAAGTGTTATAGCTGTATTCTTCGATATAGACAAAGCTTACGACACCACCTGGCGATATCTTATCATAAAATCCGCGATTGAGATGGGAATCAAAGGGCATCTCTTAGGTTTCATACAAAACTTTCTGAGTAACCGCACCACGAGGGTGAGAGCCAACGGAAAGATGTCCAACGAAAGAACATTAGCAAATGGAATACCACAGGGATCCGTGTTAAGCGTCACACTTTTTTTAATAACGATCAATGGATTAATTGAACTATTTAAGACACCAGTAAAGGCACTGATGTACGCAGATGACTTAGTTATATACTTACCAACGAATAACCTACCCACAGGACAAAGCATCATGCAACAATCAATCAATAAAATGGAGAGATGGGCAGCTACAACAGGTTTTCGTTTCTCCAGCGATAAGACCAAATACCTTATATTTAGCAAATCTAGACGCACCAGTGACAATATCGTACTCTCTCTGAACAGCACCAGAATTCAGAAAGTTGACAGTATAGTTTTTCTTGGAATGACACTTGATTCGAAACTGAAGTGGGATCTACATATAACAAAATTAATATCATCGTGTCCAAAAACGTTTGAACCTTATTAAAGTCTTAGCAAATACCTTTTGGGGAAGTGACTTCTTATCACTAATGAGAGTATATCGCGCTATATTAAGAAGCAAAATCGACTATGGCAGTATATGCTATACAACCGCAAGTAAAAATTCTCTAAAAAAACTTGACGTTTTACAACACAAGGCAATACGACTGGCATATGGCTTACTAAGAAAGCATCCATGTCCTAGCTAATGAGCCCCCGTTACACCTTCGAAGAGAATACCTTGCTCTACGCTATGCCGCCAAAATTTCAAGCCTGCCAGACAATCCTGCTCACCACATTACTGTCAAGTGTTCTTCCAGAGGATTATACAGCAACTACAGAGACTGCCCAATATCAGAGCGTATTATTCGCACCGACTTCAACCTAAACAATCTTCAGCACACGTACTCATATTCGTTATATTCTCCCCCATGGACAATGCGCCTACCCGATATTAATACATCGCTTAACTGTTACACCAAAAGAGAAACCAATCATATAGTCATCCAAGATAAATACAGAGAAGTAATTGAACACTACAAAAACCATATGCTCATCTTTACCGATGCTTCGAAGTCGCGAAATGGAGTGGGATGTGCAGCAATTCAAGAAAACAACAAGAAAACAGCATCTCTCCCTCATCACAGCAGCATCTTTACCGGAGAGCTAACTGCTATCAAGTTAGCCCTAAGTATCGCAGAGGCAACCGCAACAAGGAATATACTTATTCTGTCCGACTCCATGAGTGCACTGGAAGGAATCAAGCAATTATACCCGCAACACCCTATTCTTAAAGAAATAAAGCAATGTATCAACCTACTAGCCAACAAAATGAAGACAGTGAAATTCCTATGGATACCGTCTCACGTAGGAATAGACGGAAATGAAAAAGCCGATCGAGCAGCAGCTGCCGCGGTGACCGACGCCAATCTAGAAATAATAAACACGCCACATACCGATTTGATGACCCTGGCAAAACAACACATCTGTACTATTTGGCAAAGCCAATGGAACAATAGCACCACCAAACTGCGGGAGGCTATTTCAAGTGTGACGGAACACCTCAGACTACCCAGAAGAAGGCGCGACCAAGTGATTATCTGCCGTTTGCTAATTGGTCATACGCTAGTGACACATAAATACCTGTTCAGCAACGAAGAAGCCCCAACATGCCAAACCTGCCAACTCCCAGACTGCAGACTTACCGTGAAGCAAATACTCTTAGAGTGCACTGCCACGCAAGATGCACGAAACAATGCTTGCATGCCAGAATCCATAAACGAAGCCCTCACCACGTACTACGAACGAACACTACAGTTTCTCAAAGAATCCAATACCTATAATTTAATCTAAAGTCTTATGTATTGTATGTAACTATGTACCTTATCATTGTAACCTTGTCGTCCAGCCGCTAATAACCCTGCGTGGTTGATGCAGCTTTTGTGTTTTCTCAATAAAAAAAAAAAAAAAAGCGTTTGACACAGTTAACCACAATATACTTTTGGAAATCTTAGAAAGAATAGGTTTTCGTGGAAAGATGTATACTTTAATGGAAAATTATTTATCAAATAGACCGCAATTAGTAAAAGTATTAAGCTCGTATAGTAAAGAAATGTTTGTTAAATGTGGTGTTCCACAAGGTACAATTTTGAGTCCTCTGTTATTCAATATTTATTTAAACGATATATTCAAAATTAACAGTACTGGTAAAAGAGTCAGTTTTGCAGACGATACTGCTATACTCTATAAAGGTAAGGATTGGAACGACTTAAAAGATATTATCCAAAATGACTTTTGCAAAATTATTCAGTGGTTTAATAACCGAAAATTAACAATTAACTTTACTAAAACTCATTTTTTACCATTTTCATCACTATCTAATCATCTACCAAAATATAACCACCTTCGGTTTAAGGTAAATGATAAAAATATAAAAATCAATAGAGTTAATGATACAAAATATTTAGGAATTTATCTAGATCCCCACTTGAGATGGGATGTACATATTTCTCACATACTAAAGAAAATTAGATTCATAGCATATAAAATAAAATTTCTAACCGGTATATTAACTGAATATTATCTACGAATAATATATCAAGCTTTAGTCGAGCCACACATAACATATGGTATAGTAGTGTGGGGTGCTGCATGCACGACATACTTTAACGATTTAGATATACTTCAAAGGAGAATTTTAAAATCAATGTTAGGCAAATCAAAATTATACCCAACTAATGACTTATATAATGATGCACAAGTATATGATACTAAACAACTTTACTTCTTACATACCATCACTCATTATCACAAAACTATTAGTGAACACGACATAATTAAACATAATCATAAAACCAGATATAAATTACGCGCAAAAAATGTTCCTAAACCAAACAAATCCCTAATGAAACGATGTCACCTGTATATAGCTCCAAAATTGTACGAACATTTACCAAATAATTTAAAACAATTACGCAATACATTAGGCTTAAAAAAAATTTATTAACACGATTGGGAGAAATCAAATTAATAAAATAATCTCAAATTTTACACAATAAATGCTCTACCATTCTTACCAATAATTTCTTTTTTCTCTCTATTTTATTATATTTTACAATTCAACATACATATGATCCATGCACAGGCGTTGTCCTCCTATGGATATATTATATTTATTTACTCG